CTTGTAGTGTGAGGGTGGGTTTGGCGAAAGCCATGTTGTCCATAGCCGAAAGAGTTGTGGCAGCGCGCAAGGCGATCTGAGATTATAGAGGTATCGAGGCTTTGTAAATGCAGCTCAAAATGGTTCTATATAGTGAGACAAGACTGAGACAAAGAATCAGAAAATAACAAGGTGCCTAGTTGCGGCGTAGAGTTTTGCTATTTTTCGTTTTACCTGAGGTTTCCAAAGGAATGATTGTGAATGAGTATAGGATAAGATTCTGAACCAAGATGTGATTCGATGGATAGATTTATCTACATGCAGCACCAAAATGCACTTTTGTGAAGTTTTTGTAAGTCTCCGGAATTCGATATTAAGATATAGTTCTGCATCGTGGTGCACGCACGTTCTCTGTGCGTTGCGCGAGGCTCAAACTACCGACTGCGGGTGTAGGTTAGGACTCCACGAGAGGTCACGGCTGCCATGTTTCGCCTCGCCGCGCGCGGCGATTGCTGCCCTGATTGGACAAGACCCATACAGTCGTGCGATTAAGATCCCGGTCCCTTCACATAGTTCTGGCATCACGTAAATCTTGGCATTTTGCAAACTAGAATATTCAATGGGACGTCAATATTTTTGAATGGCAGCTGTATTTATTCAACAGACTGCTGTATTTCTTTTACTTACTTACTACTACCTACTTTTCCCGTCTGGCCGCAAATCTTAGGCCTTTACAATACCTTGCAAAGGAATGCAAAAGAAGGGTTCACCTTAAAGTGAATTTGTAGATTGCTATTCTCTAAATATTATTTCTATGTAAATGGACATTGCTTTATACTAATAGTTACACATCGGGCCCACTCCTTCCATAGTTTTCACACCTGCAAGTAATAAAGCAGACTGTTGGAAATCTAACGGACTATGCAAACGCCGCGCAGATAGCGAAAACATCGCGAGGCCCACTTCTCCTCTGCCGCGTCGCGGCGGCAGGCTGACCTCTCGTGGAGTCCTAACCGTTCCCCACCGACTGCAGCTCCCGCCTAAACCGACATGACAGTCAGCAATCGTGAGTCACAACAGGATGAGTTGTTTTCACCTACAATTTGCTATTGAATGACAATCTCCACTTCTTCAGGGCTCCTCTGAAAGGGAAAACCTTATCGGGAGAAAACCTTCAAATTTTCCTGAAAGTATTACCCTTTCTGAAGTTTTGGGCTTCCCTTATCATCTGCCACTTATATTCTACTTGACTCCCGCGAAGCTCCGCGTTTCATTAATAATATCTAGTGAAAATATATGAATATAAAAATAATGTCATAATGAGCAAAAGTACAAAATAGTCATAATAACAACAACAATGATAGTGACATACAAACAAAGTAAAAAGATAGTAAATATAAAATTAAGTAATAACTAGTCTGTCCCTAATTTGTTAAGGACATCTTTTGGTAGTGTCTTGAGGTTTGCTGCCGCAAAACAATAATTTTTTTGCGTTTGCGTTGCAATAACGGTGACTCTTCCACCTTGATCGCTGATGAGTAACCTAAATTAGTTATATGCCCCCCCCCTCAGTGAGCAATGAACAGCGGTCCTATTTCGAGCGCCTTCTGTTTTCTTTACTTCACGCCTGTACTTTCGTTTTGCAGAGACCCTAATTAATGTGCGGATTGCTTTCAATGAAAAAATCGTGGAGCAGGTAGTGAAGAACCTCGCGTTTTCCAAGCGCAGGTCTTTTTAGGCACTTCATGAGAAGTGTTGCGTGTTCCTTTCAAATATGTTTCACCATTAGGCGGAGGTGGCAAGCGGCATGCGCACGGTTACGTAGGTTGCCTTTTATATTTCGGGATTAGAGAACAAAAAAATATTAATCATTGAAAATCGCTTTATTGTTTTTCAAAATATTCCCCATTAAGATCTATACACTTTTGCATGCGTTTGAACCAATTGTCGAAGCACTTTTGCCACTCTGATTGAGGTATCTCCAAAACATGCATTCTGAACGCATCAACCGCTTCTTCAGGTGTCGAAAAACGTTGACCTCTCATTTTTTTTACGTACGGGAATAAAAAGAAGTCATTCGGTGCCAAGTCAGGACTATATGGCGGATGACTCATCAAATCGATGTTTTGAGTGCTCAAAAATGCAGTTGTTTGAGCCGTGTGAGCTCGCATTGTCGTGGTGAAGAGTGATCCGTCTTCGGCGGTTGGGATCCAACGCGAGCAAATTTTTTTGACAGTCAAATGTTCATGCAATATTAGTTTGCGCACAGCATCAATGGTTTCCGGAACAACAACTGATTTTGGACGACCTCCACGAAATTCGTCTTGGAGTGAACTACGACCTCGGTTGAATTCACCATACCATAAACACTGGTCCTTGATGGAGCTTCATCGCCAAAAATTGAATTAAGTTGTAAAAGTTGTAAAAAATAATCGCACGAAAATGTTCACGATTTAATTCCATTTTTTGGCCGACCTAAATCGTTTAAGTCAGTGTAAACAACACAAAAAAGTTGTAAAGAAATGATCATTGCGACGACATGGCAAAGTTGTAAAAAATGATCATTGCGACGACATCGCAAGGAAGGGAACCATTATCATGCATAACATATTTAGAGCACTGTCGACAAAGAGTTCGTCTGTGCTTTTGCAAGCTTACAAATCATATGTAAGATCTGTTTTGGAATATGGTACACCTGTGTTCAATCCTTTCAAAGTTAAGTCGATTAATAAACTAGAGGCGGTACAAAACAGCTTCACAAGGAAGCTGATGGTGAGAGTCCTCGGGTTCATGTATGACCAAATCCCTTCAAGTGACGTAAGGAATAAGAATTTCGGTCTACAAACTCTGCAATACAGACGGAAGAAAAACGACCTTTTATTGTTCCATAAACTTATTAATGGAAAAGCTAAACTAGATCCTGAACAGCTGTGGGTACACAAAACCTCAATCACAAGAGGCGCGTAGGATGAAAATTGATGTCGGCCGCAGCACAATTGAGCTTGCAGGCGAAATTTCTTCACCCACAGGGTGATTCCAGTATTCCAAAACTTATGCAAAAAGCATCCGTCAACAATATCCTACAGCGCGCTCAAAAATTTTCTTAACACGACGACGGGTTAAAGAAATCCCTTGGTCCTAAGCTGTTTCTTTTGTTCCTTTTTTCTCTGCTGCTTCCATACAATACTGGGGGTGCTCTCAATTTATTTATTCGGCTTTTTAACTGTTGGTGAGTTCTTATGTCCTTTTTATGATATTGGGCTTGAATGTTCTAGAACGTATGATCCAGTTCGTATGTGTTGTGATCGCACTCTGTGTAATAAATAAATAAATAAATAAATAAATAAATAAATAAATAAATAATATAAATAATATAATATATATATATATATAAATATAATAATATATATATATATATATATATATATATATATATATATATATATATATATATATATATATATATATATATATATATATATATATATATATATATATATATATATATATATATATATATATATATATATATATATATATATATATAATATAGCGTTCAGTATGTCCAAAATGTTCTGAGGTACGTATGACCTCAAAATTCAAACTATTACGATACAGCTGTTCGTTGCCAGATTGCAACACTAGGGTTGCCCAATCCCGAAATATAAAAGGCAACCCCCGTACGGGACCAAATCCCGGATCGGGTCCCCGCCCTGGCCATCCAAGCCTTCTACCCTCTGGGAACGGCTTAAACTGGTACCAGACTCGTCCGGGGCTATGAAAGCACTGCCTTGTGCATCAGCTGGCCCGGCAAGTCGTTGTATGGGATGCATCGCATTAGACTTCCATTGCGATTGTAAGTGGAAGTAGAATGCGTGCCGCATCACAAAGAATGGACCGGTTGCAGATGGCACAGATTTTATCCATCATCCTCTTATCTTCCACACCAGGTGTGTTTGGTCAGGCTCATTATTTGGAAGAAACGGCTGGGTGGAAGTGTGCGTTGATTGGACTGTTTATCAGTGTACATATTCTTTCCGAGTTCTCAAGAAACTGTTCAGCTGACCTAGAAAGAGAACTCGTTAAGCCGGGTGGTCGCATTCAAGCTCCACACCAGCTTCTTGAAAAAGATCTAGACGAAGACGTCGGACAACAAACAATCCTATTTCAACAAACCTATAGCGTGGCACACACAGAAGCTTCAAGAGGCAGTCAAAGCTTGTTCATTGAGGAGTAATTTATGAAAGATTAATTAGAAAGAGGGCAATTCCGCTTGGTGGAGCGCCAAATGGTACTAAGCCAAGTTCACACAGACCACTTTGTGAAGGTTTGTGAATCTCTGCGATCAAAGGGCTCACGGTAATAATTTCGTATCTTCACTGAAGTTCACAGGTCCGATTAAAAACGGACCTTTTGGTCAACGTAAACCAAAGTGCAAAACGCCCCTTTCAAGCAGCGTCCAAAACAGTGTGCCTCCAAGAACTTGTTCTCTGCTAACAGAGCGGGCTAAGAGAAAATGTAGTCACACTCCAGTGTATTCACCAATCCCAATTTAGAGTTCATAATTCATTTCTGTTAGGTTTGTTGTCACATCGAGAATGATGGAATAAAGACTAATGCAATTGGTTCCAAACCGATGTTTGCTGACTATAGTGCAAAATCTCGGTCGACCTTGAAATTTCTCATTGTTACAATTTTTTTGAATGTCCGGCCCATCAATGGTGGCGATATAAGGCCCTTTAGAGGTCATTGTCACAGCAATCAGTCTTGAGCTGCTACGTCAACTGACGTTTGTATTATCCGCAGTTCGTTTGCGTTTGAATTCTCAATGTTCTGCTCTCAAGCTCTGACTTTTTGAAGTTTAATCATCACGAGTTCCAGTAATGATCCGAGCACTCGTCAGCATTGCTTGTTGTTTGAGCTTCGCCTATGCAGCTACGTTCACATTCGAAGATGTCCCAGATGAAATAAAAGGTCCATTCTATTGAGATCTCGTTGTTCCTAAAATTTAACGACCAAAAGTTTAGAGCTCGTCCCTGATAACATCACGTCTTTCCTCAAAGGACTCAAAGAATCCGATATAGCAATACTGAAGGAGGTTGCCGCGAATTATGAAAACCAACATGAGACTGCGGATCAGGTACGTGGGCGGATTTCCCGAGCCGCATAAGAGAAATCCCAAGATATTCAGGTTTATGTGTTCTAGGCAATAGCTGAAATAAAGAAAAAATCACCCGAACTTGGTGAAAAAGTTGAAAGTCTTCACAAAATGATCCTGGACAAAGTCAATGCCCTTAACCCAGAAGCAAAAGAGTTCGCTCTCGAGGTTGGACGTTGATTAATACAGCATTTGAGAAAGCTCCTCAATTTCCACTCAACAATTTCAGATGTACCGTATTGTGCGTAAACTCCACACGAAATCCATTGCTGGCCAGAAAATAACTGCAAAGGAAATAACCGACCAGGCTCAGCAGGTAATCGAAAAGTTCAAGGCACTGCCCACGGCTGCTCAGGAAGACCTCAAGAAGCAGTTCCCTATAACAGTTCACGCATTCACGAGTGAGTACAGGATGTCACCAACTAGGGAGAATAGTCAAAAAGTTTCTTGCAGGCAAGAAAATCAACAAGATGGTGGCAAGGCTATTGGTCAACGGCTAAGAGCTGCTTCATTAGGGCGATACAAGCAACGTCACTACCACAGTGTTATACGGCAATGTTTTCCGTTTTCATATTTAAGAGTTTGTTTTTTTCGAGTAAACCATTTTCTTAGACGATTCGAGAACATATGATTTAACACTTCCACAAACATTCATGTCACTATCAAACGGCACAAGCCACGACTACGCCACGGTAGAAGTTCATCTCCAGAACGAGATGGGAATTTTGAAACAATCCTTCGCAGTGCGATTAATCATTGCTGTGCTATCCCTACTACCCCAGTTCCCAGTACACCTCCTGTCCTCCTGTCGAGCCCTGCCCAAGATTGCCACAGGAACTTGTTAAGTGGTCACGCACCAGCTGTAGAACTTTTTCTCCGGAGTGCGAAAGGAAACCGCCGAATCAGGCCGTATTGTAGTTTCGGCTGTATGCCAAACATGAACACGTCTCCAGTACGCGCCTATATCTTGTTTTTATTGCTCGCCATGATTTTTTATGGTCATCCTTTAGCTGACGTTTCGTCAATATTATCTTCCAACCCTGAAAATATTGAAGGCAATGAAAGGAGCTATCCTTCAACGCGTATCACAAAAATGACGCGCCAGGGGAAGGTCAGCCATCCGCGCCCAGAGGGGTCACAGACTTCACAGACATCATGTAAACTTTCAAAATTGGTATTTGTGAAGGCTGAAGGAGGTCAACCTGTCATCTGTGGCGGGTAGTAATGCAGTTTGAATAGATTAAGCCTCAGGACAACCCCTTGAGGGACCTCGAGATGTAGGATAACTCCAGACACAGCTACAGGCCACGAGCGCAGCTGAAGCACCTCATTCATCCACGATCTTTGGCCAAAGATACAAGATGTCCCTCA